GGGCACGTCGCTGAGGGGTGTGGAGGGCATGCCGTGTCTGTGTGGCCCATGAGCTCAGGAGACAGATGCTGACTCAGTGGCGCACCGGCATCGGCTGTGAGAAGCTCTGAGGTGCGGACGAGCCCGGCTGAGGAGCCCTCACTGCACAGGCCCCTGGTCAGGCTCCTCGCTGGGCCTCTCCGTGCCCGAGAGGACAGATGAGAAGGACACACGGACAAGCCTTTCCTTACTGACACAGCCATGGCCCCGCAGGCTGCTCCTGTACCTGCTCGAAGTCGTCTTTGGCCGAGGGAAGGTCAGGGGCGACACGGGGGTCCCCCAGGTGCTTCTCCAGCCTCTCTCCACGCACCACCGTTGTCTTGACAACTTTGCTGACACGGCGGCCCTCCACGGGCTCCGCCTGGAACTGCGAGGCCTCGCACAGGGCGCCGGGCTCGGACACGGCCACCTGACGGCAGGGACACAGACAGCTTCTGACACGCAGGTCACTGCGGGGCGCGGCTCCACAAGGAAACCGCCCGCAGAGGCTGCAGAGCTGCCCGGCTCCGGACACGGACTCTGGGCAGAGCGGCACCTGGGAACGAGCCCGTCCGCACCGGGGCGTCCCCGCAGTGGCTCTGTGCGCTCGGCCCTCTCACCCGCGTGAGTCCCCCAGAGGCCTGTCGGGGGTCCGGTGAGGTGTGCAGTGGGGACCCCCACCCGTGCCTGCTCTGCCCCATGGAAATGGTGGCTCTGCATCCTGACGGTCACGCGGCCCCAGGAGGGAACGCTCCGGATGCGAGGAGCTGCAGGCCAGACTCCAGAGCACCTCCCGTGAGTCACGACAGACAAGTGTGCGTGTGGAGGAAGCAGAGCGGATGGCACAGGCATGTGTCAGAGAGAAGGGGCCCCTTCGAGGGCAGTTGAGCTGTCCAGGTCCTGGCTGGGCTCCGAGACGCAGCGTCTGCTGTGGACACCACACACAGACCTCCCTGCACACTGCCCCCCGCACTCAAGCCAGCCCGGGCCTGACGTGGCCCTGCTGTGGCCCAGACGGACTGAACAGCCACGGGGTCAGGAGGACCATGGCAGGCGTTGGGCACTTGCCCCTGGCGGCTGGCTGCAAGCTCTGGCTCACCGTGGAGGGGGGTGAGTGCCGCCGAGACCTGCGTGAGGGAGCCATCACCTTGGCCAGGTCCCACTCGCTCCCCATGTCACACCCCACACCACACATCTGTGTCACACTCCACATACGTCCACGCCACACACCTGTGTCACACTCCACATACGTCCACGCCACACACCTGTCACACTCCACATGCGTCCACGCCACACACCTGTGTCACACTCCACATACGTCCACGCCACACGTGTTACACTCCACGTGACATGCTCGTGTCATAGATGTGTCATATGCCACATCACACACCCACATGACTCTCCACGTCACACGTCCATGTCACACACCTGTGTCACATGCGGCACACGCCTGTGTCACACCTCCACGTCCCTCTCCACGCCACACGCCCACACCACACACCCACACCACATGCCCTCACCACACGCCCACGCCACACGCCCACACCACACGCCCACACTCCCCAACACGCTTGGCCGTCAGCCTCACCTCCGCCTGCTCCGTGTCGCTCCTCAGCACCACACGCTTGATGACCTTGGAGTAGGCATCCGCGTCCGCGAGGCTGACGGGCTCCTGCGGCTGCCCCTGCACGGTGACCTCCTCCCGCTCGGTGCCGTCCGAGGACACGAACCGCCGGATGACCTTCCTGGTGACCTGGGGGGACGGCACCCTGAGTCTTGTCCTGGAGCCACAGGACGGGCCCTGGGGAAGGGGGAATGTACCTTCTTCACCACCGTGTGCCCGTGCTCGTCCACGTATGTCTCCTCCGTGACTGTTTCTGGGGGCAAGTCAGGCACATCGTCTCCCTGCAGAGACAGGCCCACATCAGCGGTGGCCCTGGCAGGGGGGCACCGGCTCCCAGGCCAGAGGGCACGCGTGTTAGCCAGTTAGCGGAGGCAGAGAAGCGTTACCGCGGGGCCAGGCCCGACACAGAGGTTTGCAGAGAGAAAAGTAGGTGCCGCCATGCTCGGGGGGCTCCAGCCAACGTCAGCTCAACACGCAGACACATGGGCAGAGACGGCACAGGGCACGGAGGGCGGGCTGCAGACGTCACAGCGCCCCCGCTGTTGCCCGGGAGCAGCCACGTGCATTCCTTGGCAACAGCACTTGGACTGCCCGTGGCTGCTCCCCAGGCCACCCAGCGCAGGCAGCCCGCTGCCCTGGGCCGCCGTGAGCGGTCACTGTCCCAGACGTGCGGCCTGAGCAGCTGGTACCTGGATGATCACCCGCCGGCGGACAACCCTGGTGGTGACCAGCGCCTCCTCATCGGAACTGGCTTCCAGCTCGCCCAGCTCGGCCGTGAGCTCCTGCAAGCGGAGGCAGGTGTTATGGTGCCGGGGGAGGCCTCTGCCACAGGCCGGCGTGAGCTCACGCGTGCTCCCGGAGGTTTGTTCACCGAGCTCTGGGGCTGCCCCAACAGGGCACAAAGAGCTGCACACGAGGCTCAGGCTTCACAGAGAACATGGCGTCCTGTGCAGCGAGCGGAGAGAGACCCTGGCATCCAGTCTGACCGAGCCCCTGGGCAGGACCTGCGGTGAAACCAGTGCTTCTCACCGGCCGGGACTCCCGCTCCTGCTACACACAGGTGGGGGCAGACTCCCCCCGCCCCCACCCGCTCTCGGGCTGCGGCTGGAGTGCCTGCCCTTGGTCTCGCCGTGTCTACTGCTGGTGCAGATGCTCCCATGGACCAGGTTCCCTGCGCCTCGTCCAGGCAGGGATGCGCCTGCGGGGCCTGGGGTGTCACACTCACTCGCAGAGTCCAGCCAGGACGGAGCCAGACGTGACCTCAGATTACAACACACGTCCTGGGAGCCACACACCACATCTCTCCCTGTGGAAGGTTTCTCAAGGAGAAAGAAAACAGCTGCATGTCCCCCACATACTTCAAAATGCCACTGGTGTTTCTAGATTCCTTTCTGCTGCAGAAAAATACCTCAAATCTAGACCAAGCCACACACTGAAAACGCTCAGGAACCTGTTGCCTGGAAACCGGGCTGCAGGAACCCGCAGACATTCTGTCCTCAGGGCAGGTCCTGAGGGGTCAGGGTCGTGACAGGTCAGGGTCAAAATCAGAAGCAGAGAGAGCGGAGGGGCGTCCCCGAGAACAGTAAACGGGGCGGGGCGGGGGGCACGGAGTGACGTGCCAGAATGTGTTCATGTGCAGAGAACAGACTAAACACAGGAATTTACCAGGTGATTGTTCCAAGTCTAGACCTCAATTAGCTTATGGATTCTTAGGCTCAATTTGGCAACTTTTAAGCCCAGGCATCACCTGTGAGTCTTTTACTAGAACTGACCTCAGCCAACTCGAGTGAGATGAGCAATTCTCTACAGAGGCCGGCATAGAATAAAGGCCCTGTGGGCTGAACTCATTATTTTGTAACTGCAGAAACGGGGCTTCTCATGCCAGCTACACTCTTCAATGGCTGCTGCTGACAGATGTCACCCTCATCCTATCCTATCTAATAAAACCCTAATATGCAAATTAACCGGTGGAATGACTGATTGCTATGACACGCACTGACCACCGGGGGGCAGATGCTCAAGCCATCCCTACACCCACACTCGGATCACAGCTGGCAAGTGCAGCAGAGGAGGCAGGAGCCTTTCCTGCCTCCGAAACAGCGCTAAGGACCCCTCGGGGGTCCCGGGCTGCGAGAGGGCATAGGCCGGGCTGAGGGACCTCCCCCTACCCCAGTGTAAGAATGTCATGCACCAGGCCTCTTGCAGTAAAATAAACCAATAAATGCAGCTCTTCAGCCCAAAGAGATGCTGAACTATTACCTTCCCCCCCGAAGTTTTAATTCTTTCTTCTAACTCATTCTTTCTCACCAAGACAGGCATGGATCCTCTAAGCCAGAGGTCCTCAAACTTTTTAAACAGGGGGCCAGTTCACTGTCCCTCAGACCGTTGGAGGGCCGGACTATATTTAAAAAAAAAACAACTATGAACAAATTCCTATGCACACTGCACATATCTTATTTTGAAGTAATAAAACAAAACAGGAACAAATACAATATTTGTATTTGCATGTGGCCTGCGGGCCGTAGTTTGAGGACCCCTGCTTTAAAAACATTGACATACAGAATGTTTTTCAATTCTAAAAGGAGAAACAACACCTAATTTAATTTGCATTAAATTAAATTGAATTCAAACAGATTCACACTGTGTGTAGGAGAACGCCTACGCCGACTACGTTGTTGCTGAAAACGCAGCTTCTTCCTCTGCCCCCCAAGGTCAGGATCCTGTGGGGAGGGATGCCCAGGGAGCAGTGAGGGGTAGGAGCCATTCAGACCTCTTGTGGGGAATAAACAGTTTCCGTGAATCTACGGGTCTCCACTCCCTGCTCCGAGGGAAGGGACGCAGCTCCGTCTCACGCGTGACACCTGGCAGCAGCAATGCCTGCCGGTGGGAAGCCCCTTTGCCAAGCCTTCCTTACACCCCCGCCTGGGCCCAGCGGGCCCGCGCCGGTCACAGCGGGTCCCAGGCCCTCAGTGCGAAAAGCCAGCTCAGGATGTGGGTTCGCTGGTGGTCATTATTCTCAGCAAAAATGTTCCAGCGATAAAAAGTGGGCGGATGTGAAGCGGCGAGAACGGCACCCAGGCCGTGGGTCCTACTCACTGGAGTCCCGACTCAAAAAGGATGGCGGTGCACGGCCCAGGCTCCCTCACCTGGTGGCTGTGCGGGGAGCACATCGGCCTCAGGAACAGCCGGGAGGGGCTGTCCACGTGGCGGGACGGGCAGAGGGCCCTCACCTTCTGAAACGCCGAGTCTGCATCGAGGCTCTCGAAGGCCGGTGGCTGCTCATCGGCCGACTCCACGATCACTAGGCTGTTCCTCCTCGGAGAGCCAGCCTCCCCGACCTCCTCGGGCTCCTGCACGAGGGGCGAGTCCGCCCGCTCCCGGGGCGGCGGGGCCGGCTGGTGGGGCCCATCCTCCTCGGGGGTCCTGCTGGGAGAGCCTGGGGCCGCCGTGGCCTTTGCGGTGTCTGGCCCTGGTGTCCGGGTGCTGGTCACACTGAAAGGGAAGGCCGGGTTACATGAGCAGGTGCCCGCTGCCCGCCGAGACCAGGGCCACAGAGGGGAACACGAACCCCCTTCCTAGTCACGAAGGTCAAATAGGTTAGCGTGTTAGAATGACATGCGAGGGAGAATCCCACGCAATGGCAGCACAGAACGACAGCTCAGGGTGCAGCGTGGCTGGGAAAGATGTTTCCAAAGGCTCACGCAGGCACGTGAGTCCCGTCTCCTCCTCCTCCCTCCTCCCAGCACAGACGCCATCCTTTATCCTTCCTTTGCCGCCTGGAGGTGAGTGAGGAGTCGAGAAGGGCTCCCTAACGGATCTGTAGATAATAAGGCTTGTGAAGCAAGAATCAAAATTTGGCAAAGTTTGTGAAAAGCAATGAATGCACCCGTGTGAACACGGCACCGGGATGATCAACGCAGGGAGAGCCTTCCGGAACACGGCGACTTGGCAGGAAGCTCTGGCGTGGAAGCTGCTTCCATTGCTGTGGAGGGCATGACTCGGCCATGATCTCGGTCGTCCCCATTTCCAGGGGGAAGATTCTCTGCTTTCTTGGCTCCTTCGAAACCCACGCTGCCACTCTCTGCCTCTGTGCCTGGCCTGGGCTCCCTCCCCTCTCTGCCCCTCCTCCCCCTGCTCCATGCTGTCCGGATGCCTAGTAGATGGTGGCTCCTCCGGGGAAGAGACGGCTCAAGGCACAAGTTCACAAAGGGCCTGGGACGCTATCTCGGCCGGCAGAGGGGCCAGCGTTCTGAGTCCATGCGCCGTGCTCTGTGGCCCTCCCTCCTGTGAGTGTCTGTACTGCTGCCTCAGCCACCCGGCTGAGCGGGAACCACGGAGGCCCCCCGCTCCCCACCTCCCAGCGCCGCTCTGCTCACCCTGCTGCCCTGCCACTCCGGGCGGCCGTGTGCTCCCACGGAGGGATCTCAGTGTAAACCCCCCTTTCCCAGGCCGAGCTCCCACCAGGACAGGAATTAGGAGCACGTCACTATCCTCAGAGCCCTGGCCCGTGGGGATCGTTAGGAAGGCCACCGCCTGCACCCCGGCCCCTGGCCATGCCTCCGCGGACACTCACCAGCACTGCGACTGCGGCCCCGGGGCCGGTTCCTCGGGTACCCGCTCCTGGGGGCGGCGCTCCCCAGCGGGGCTGTCCCTGTCCGTCCGGGAGGCGCTATCCTGGACCGTGGAGTAGCCGAGGGAGAGGTCTTCGTCAGAGACGATGGGGGGGTGACCACAGGCCTCGCCTGCTCTGGACGCTGCGTGCTCCTGGGCCTGCGGGTGCCGCGCGGGCAGCTCGTCTTGCAGCACTGAGAACCCTGTGGAGGACAGCGGGTCAGGAGCGGCCTGACGCCCGGCCATGTCGGACACCTTCCTGAGCTCCTGAGTCACTCCACGTGCCCGTCCTGGGAAGCGGGGGGGGGGAGGGTCCACAGCGCCAAAGCTGACCCAGATTCTGCCTGCCTTTGATGTGCAGGTCCTGTGGGGCCGGGCACGGAGGAACCCATGGCCACGCAGAGGCTGGGCCACAGGAGCAGACGGAGGGCGGGAACGAGGAGCCGCTGAGGAGATGTGGAGAAGTGAGGCGTGACAAGCAGCAGCAGCTGAACGCTCTGCGGTTGAGCAGGTCACTTGGGGCTGTGGGTGCTCTGGGGGCCCCTGCCTGAGGCCCAAGGCCCGGCGCTCTGCGTGAGACCCGACACCCCAGCCGCTGGGAGGGCTCTGGGAGGCCGAGGCAGAGGTGGAGGCATGACAGCCCCACCCATTTATTCACTGACACCTGACAGCCGGAAAGGAGCCAGGAAGCCCTTCCTCATGGGACTTGGAAGGCAGGCAGTGGGGAGGCCCGGGGGACGCCTGGGAGCGTCTCTGCAGACACCCACGGGGCTGAGATAGGAGGACTGTCCACGCGGGGACAGAGGGCGGCCTGAACCGGGGGCACGTTTGCCATCACTGAAACCCATGCAACTTGAGCGCTGCCGAAGGACAGAGCAGGAAGCCGGGGAAAGGCAGAGAGAAGAGCAGAGCAGGGCGGGTGAAGAACGTTCTAGAAGGGGCTGGTTCTGTGCGTCAGACGTGACTAAAGGCGAAGCAAGAAGAGCACGGGAGCCACGGGAGGATTCACCGCGCGGCATGAGGCCCTGGCCATGCGGCAGCCACCTCTGTTTGGAGGTGCCCGGAGAGCTGACTGGGGGGGACGGGCGGGGAGCAGATTCAGGGCGTCCGCGCTTTGAAGAGATCACCTGTAAGACGGGCAGAGAAAGAGCCATCGCGCGGGCACAGTGCGGTGAGCACGGTCCGGCTGGGAGCCGGGGCAGCTGTAGGGGTGACGCTCTTAACTGGACCAAAGACCAGGGTCTTAGCCAAACTGAGAGTGGGCGGCCTGCAGGCCTGAGATCACGCAGGCAGGCGATGGGATGCCTGAATAGGAGTGTCTGCTTGTGATTGTTCCTATTCCTTACAAATGTGCTTTTATTGATTTCAGAGAGGAAGGGAGAGGAAGAGACAGAAACATCAATGATGACCGAGACTCACTGATCGGCTGCCTCCTGCACGCCCCCTGCTGGGGACTGAGCCCACAACCTGGGCCTGCGCCCTGACTGAGAATTGAACTGTGACCTCCTGGTTTAAAGTTCAACACTCAACCACTGAGCCATGTCGGCCAGGCTGATGGTTCCTACTTTTTCTAAGAAACACGAAGCCTGATCCTCAGCTCAGAATTAAGTAGTGAGCCACGCTGGCAGCATGAAGGAGAAGAGGAGCTGTGAGACTGGGCAGAGAGGAGAGGGGGGCAGAGAGGGAGGAGGGCAGAGAGGGAGGGGGGCAGAGAAGAGAGGGGGGCAGAGAGGGAGGGGGGCAGAGAGGGGGGGGGCAGAGTGCGCTGCCTGGCGATGGAATGAACTAGGAACTTCGACGCCAGAGGTCCTAGTGGGTCTGAATCAGGCTGGTCTGGAGCAGAAGGTGAAGTCAGGGCGGCGCTTCCTGGGAGGGGAGTCGTGGGGCCACGGAGACAGGCACAGTCTCGTGGGCACAGCAGACGTGGCAGCTGAGCTGGTGGGAAAGACGTGGAGCTGAGGGGAAGCACTGGTGGGTCATCCCAGTCCGTGGCCGGGGGGACAGGTCTGCCCCCTTCAAAGCCCTGCTGAAACCAGTCCCGAGGGGGTGGCCAGCAGGTGGCCGTGGGGAGGGAGGGTGCCGAGGTGAGCCTGTGGGGGTTCCTGCCTGAGAAGGGGAGGGCGCAGCGGGAGGAGGAATCCCCAGACTTCCCGTCTCCAGGACGGAGAGAAACCTCTGCTTTAAGCCGCAGTGCATGGTGCTGCCTTCCGGCCAAGCTGAGCCTCTGATGAATGAACAAGGAGTGAGCGCCTGGGGCACCTCTCAACGGCAGGGAAGCCCCAAGGCAGCGAGGAGAACGTGTGAGCAGCCACGGCGACCCCCCTCTAGGCAAGGGAGGCAGGCCCAGCTGCTTGAATTAGCCACAGACGCACACGCGGGCACACGCACGGACACACACGCACACGCAGGCACACTGCCTGACCTTCGCTGTGGTCCAGCGTGATGGTCTGCTCCATCTCGGCGTAGCTGTGGCTGGTGCGCTCCAGGAGCGGCTCCGTGCTGGTCTCCAGGAGATGCACAATGTCCATGCGGTTGATCCTGGTGAGGCATTCGATGAGGCTGGTGTCTGGGATGTGAAAGGAAAGCATGGGTTGCTTGGGGGCGTGCTCTTTTGAAAACCACCTTCCTTGAGCTGCCTTACTAAATGTTGGTATTTGTACAGGAAACAACAAGCCCAAATGAAGTTATTTGTAAAAAGCAGCAAAAAGACAAACAGCAGATAAGCAGGAAAAGTGAGAACCGGCCTGGGTACAGCCCTGGCAGTACTGCCCGGTAACGGACAGGACCCCCGTCAATTCTGAACTTAAGACAAAAGCCAGAGACTTGTTCAGCATGAGCACAGCCCTCCTATGGCACGGGAGACGCTCATCACAGGGAAGTGCTTGCTGACTCTGTGACGGTGAGGTCTAACAGTTCCCTCTCTTCTTATTGGTGAAACCCTGCAAAGGCCCCAGATGGCGAGGGGAGTACGGAGACAGAGGTGAATGAGGGGTTCTGGCTGGAGCCGTGGAGACGCTCAGGAAAGCGGCCTCTGAGACAAGCGAGGGTAGGAAGTGTATGTGATCGCCGAGGTCACGTGGCCACACACAGCACTGGGCGACTATCTGCTCCCCCAACCTAAGTTATTTAGCAGTACAGGCAGGAGGAGCAGGAGGTACAGTCACTGCCAATAAAACACGAGAATTAACACAACTGTGTCTATCATCAATGTTTAGAAAACGTAGGACTTTAATAACATTCCTGCCTGGCTGCTGTGGCTCAGTGGTTGAGTGTTGACCTATGAACCAGGAGGTCAGGATTTGATTCCCAGTTGGGGCACAGGCCTGGGTTGTGGGCTCGATCCCCAGTGTGGGGCGTGCAGGAGGCAGCCGGTCCATGATTCTCTCTCATTGCTGATGTTTCTCTCTCTCTCCATCGCCTTCCTCTCTGCAATCAATAAAGTCTATTTTAACAAGTAACGTCCCTGCTGGCAGCCTGGGCTGCCGCCCTCCCCCAGTGACTGGCCACAGCAACCCAGCACAGGGGTCTCAGGACAAGAGGTTTTAGAGACACTGGGCATGTTCTTGTGGTGGCAGCCGTGCTCAGCACCTGTCATGTGACCCGACAGAAGGGCAGGCAGGCACGTGTGGGCCACCTGCTGCCCCGCCCGCCCTGCCCGCGCTGCCTGCCCGTGGCCAGCCTGCCGTCCCGCTCCAGCCAGTACTTGAGCAGTGCGTGGCTCTGGTCCTGCAGGGAGTTGGGGTTCTCCACCCGGATCTGGTGGATCTGCTCCTCAGAGAAGTCCAGCTCTCGGGCCAGTTCTGGAAGAGACGCCGCCATCTGTGAGCGGGAGCCTCGGAGCTGGCGCCCCACACCCGCGGGTTCTGGGCAGGGCTCTCCAGGCTGCCCGTGACGGGACCACGGTCCCCACGCAGGAGCACGAGGCGCACACACCTTTGCTCTTCTGATGCTACTTCTAGGTTTCCCTTAAAGCTGCATCTAGAACTGTTCACTGTCCTGGTGGAAAGAGTAGGTTGGAGGCTCTGGTGATAAAATACGTGTTATGTGGTCCCATTTAATTCCAAAATGCAGACGAGACCATTAGTGCCGACTCCTACTCTTAACCAACATCATGGGAAACAAACCACGGCGACAGGAGACGTGGGCCCCTTCCCGCCCTGGTCATCCTTCGGGACAGACGTCTTCGCACCGTCATTCCTGTGCTCAGCACTGCGCTTGGTACACACTGGTTGTGGCTGCATGATGGTGGCTGAATAAATTCCTGTCTCTGATTTGATGTCACGGAAGTAACAGTCTAGGAAGACTTGCCCTAGACTTGTCCTTGTCAACACTGACATGCTGCGTGGATGCCTGTGCTCTGTGGGGTGTGCGTGTGCAATGAGAGGTCTGCTTGGAAGGGCAATGTGCCAGTATCTTTCAGAATTAAAAATGTAGCCCAGCTGGCGTGGCTCAGTGATTGGGCATTGACCTATGAACCAGATCACGGTTTGATTCCAGGTCGGGGCACATGCTTGGGTTGCAGGCTGGATCCCCAGTCGGGGGGAGGGGGCATGCAGAAGGCAGCCAGCCAATCAATGATTCTCTCTCATCATCGACATTTCTCTCTCTCCCTTCCTCTCTGAAATCAGTGGAAATATATTAACACACACACACACACACACACACACACACACACCCTTTACCCAACAATTCCGCTCCTAGCAGGTGCCCTCCAGCTTTGCTCACAGAAATATCCCAGTGCACGCGTACTGATCACATTAGCAGGACACAACCACATGCCCAGCAGTGAAGACCACTGGCAGTTACAGCACCTCCACAGAACTCAATGGTCATTTAAAAGGACGAGCTGGATGTGTCTCTGGTGATGGACTATTGATGAGATTTAAGTAAATTTGCTTCTTTTTAAATAAGAGGCATGCATGTGAGCACTGCATGTTTTCTGAATGCATGGACATCCCAGCAGTCACCTTTGGGGCATGAGGTCAGAGGACCAGATGTAGGCAAGAGACTTTTTTGCTTTTCATTTTCATACCACCGTGTACGGTTGTAGGGTCTTACTTTTCAATATGTCTAATGATATTACATTTAATACGTATGTACATATAAATCTAAGAAACAAAATAGCCCTGGCTGGTGTTGTTCAGTGGTTAGAGTGTCGGCCCATGGACCAAAGGGTCACAGGTTCGATTCCTGCTCAAGGGCACCTACCTGGGTTGTGCAGGTTCAACCCCTGGTCCCTGTTCGGCCGCTTGCGGGAGGCAAGCAACCGTGTCTCTTTCACATTAATGTTTCCCTCTCTCTCTCTCTTTCCCCCCACTCCCTCCCTCCCTCTCTCTCCAAAATCAGTGGAAAAATATCCTCTGGTGAGGATTAACAACAACAAGAGAAGAAGGAGGAGGAGGGGGAAGAGGGAGGAGGAGGAGGGTGGAGGAAGAAAGAAAAAAACGAAATAAAGTAATTCTGAATGTTACCTATTCATTAAGTCAACCAGGGATATTTGCTGTCCTTCCTTCCTCTGAATTCCTCAATTAAATAAATCTGATCAGTTTTTAAAGAAAATGGCTATTCTTCCTGCTTCTAGTCACTTATTGCACATTATTGATTATCTTTGCTATGGGCAGTTTGGTCTCCTATTCATCACCAAATCTTTAAGAAACTTAAAGACAACAAACATTAATTTTACACCATTTGTTTCAATCAGGTAGTCACAGGTGATACAAGAGGAAGTCAGACCAAAAAAGGGAAAGAAATAAAAGAAAACCAGAGGCTGTAACATGTCCAGCCTGGGCGAGGTGAGAGGGAGCCGTGATTTATAAATCATACTGATCTCAGGATTCACTTTTCCTCAGTAAGTCACTGAACATGTATTATAATTCCTACTCTCAAGCACTCCCGTTTCTCATAGCCACATGCACTTCAGCATTTGCCCAGAGCCACTGTCAGCACCCCTCTCCACAGAGACCCCGAGACACAGCGTCCAAAACAAGGAGCCCTGGTCAGTCTCACATGAAACGCTAGAGCGACCCCTGACAACGGTTTTGAAAACCAGCCCTCTCCCCGAAGTTTAGTACCCACAGCCCCCACAGGAGTGCTGTGGAGTGGGCACATTCTTAGACTCTCCATAGTCTCCTACTGTCCTGAGTCCCAGGGGCGAGAGGCCTGCCGCCGTTCCCAGGACGGTTCACAGAGCCCTGGTCTCTAGCCCTGCACTGTATTCTTCTCGCTGTCCCTCGGGTCTTCCTCAAGGGAAGGAAAAGGAGACCCTTCTAATTGTTCATGACCCGTGGCTGAGGCCACCTTGTCATTCACAACCAGCGGGCTTTGTTGGCAAGTGGCCGCTCGTGTTACCTGTCCAGCTGAAGCCCAGGTGGTCGGCGATGTAGGCCAGCCGCTCCTCCATCCGCTCCTGCGCATCCTGCTGATCTGCACAAGGTCAAGAACAGAATGGCCATGGCTGTCTGTGCCGGGAGAGGATCCCGCACTGACCATCCACAGAGAGGAAGTCACTTGTCCCAACAGTCGATGGTCGCACCATCGCGCTATTACCCTTACATCACGCGAGTGTGTGTGCCTGGTTTCTGGAATGGAATGGGAGGAAGTCTGAGACATCATGGAAACCACATGCTTCCCATCTCTTCAATCAAGACCAGTCCCCGCACTAATTCTGAAGCTGTGATTTCTAGCCAGCATCACACCCCCCTTCCCGACGGCCCCAGAGAACACTGCCCACCAGGAAACGATCACCCTCCTTGTCAGATGCCCGCGAGCTTGGAGCAGGGCCGCAGATGCGGAGGGATGGGTGGGGCCTCCCCTCACTCCGGCCACACAGGTCCCTCCCACCCAAGGGTCACAGGAGACTGAGGCCTGGTCTGGCTGAGACCACACCTGCCTTGGCCGTGGTGACCCTGGGGTGGGGGGGCAGTGAGGGACGTGTTTGCATGGACGTCTTTTGGGCAAAGTTTTTGTCTGCTGACCAATAAGCAAGCGCTTCTATTACCCCCACAAACTGTGACGTTCCATTCATGTTTAACCCCACGAATGGATGGGCAGTGTTTTAGATCACCCCCTATCATGCAAATTTAAGAGTCCTGGTCTTTACTGCAGAGATACCGGAAGCTCCAGGGCCAGTTCTCAGCGCCATCTGCGGTTTCCATGGTGATAACTCACAGTCCACTAAGGCATGCACAGCTGGAGTTTTGTTGTCTGCTGCTGCCAACCGGGCCGGTCACTGAGAAGCACTGTGTACCTTACGCTGGTGTGTGAACATGTGACCAGCGGGATCTGAAATCCAACCTTTCTGAGTCAAAAACAGATCCACTAAACTGGAATGTCCTATGTGAAATCTTCTTGAGCAAAGGGCATCCTAATGATGACAAAAATTACGTGTCAATTATCTTCAAGTACAGAAAGGTGAAGAAAAGCCACGGATCCGGAGAATACAAACCAACCCAGCACACTCGGTGCCAGAGCAGGCGTGCTGGGCTGCAGGCTGGGCCCGGCCCTGCAGAGCAACAAAACTCCCCGCGGGCGCGGCTCGCGTGCGACGGCCGGCCGGACGAGGCAGGGCCGTGGCCGGTGTGGTCACGTTCCCACAAGCATTCTCACGGCTCAATCTTGAGATTGTTTTCACAGACAAGAGTGTACAGAGAAAGCACACAACACGAAGGGCTCACACAAACAGAGGAGCCACTGCGGAAGCTTAAAAAAACGAGACTCGAGCCACCAAAGGAAACAGACAAAGGGCACAGCGACACGGCTCGTGACATGCGGGGCCGGGGAGCCCGGGGGCAATACCTTCCGTGGGGTCATGGCCACTCTCATCGGGGATGCGCTCAATCAGAGTCTCAATGGGCTCATCCCAGATGGGCCTGGCGTCAAAGATGTCCTCAGGGCCCACGCGCTCGGGCGCGGCAGGTGGCAGGCTCTCGATCACCGAGGCTTCCAGGGCGCTACTGCTCTCGTCATCCGAGACTGCCTCCTGCTCCCTCTCTGCCTGGCTGAGCCTGTCCACTAGCTTGGACGCCTCCTCACTAATCTCCTCGAAGAACTCTATGGAGTCCCTGTAAAGGTCAAGGAAGTGCTCCCTGCTCTCCCGGGTGGGGCTTGGGGCCCCCCTGCAGGAAGAGGGGGCGCCTCTGCTCTTCACCGGCAGGCGGGAGGCAAACACCTTCGGTCTGGAGGCTGCGGCCTCCGACTCGAGGGTGAGCTCCTCCGCCCACTCCCCGCGCTCTGCTTCGGCCTCAGCACAGCTTGGAGCTTTCGCTGGACTTCTGGTCTTTGAGTCCCCAGGCCGGGCCTCTGAGTCAGAGGTGCCCCTGTCATCTGCGGCCCTGCCTGGCACGTCCTGTCCCTGAGGAGGCCCTGTCTTCTGCAGGGAGGAGGGCAGGGGCGAAGGCTGCGGCCCGGCTGCGTGGGGGGGCGCCTTCACGGGGATTTTGGACCTGGGCTTTGTCTCCTGCTCGCTCCTGTCCTCACCTGGGCTGGGCAGCAGGCTATCCTCGGCCGGGGCCGGGCCGGGGGCGGGGGCGGCAGGGGGCCCGGGCCGGACCGGGACCTGGGACCGGCTCTCCGAAGGAGGCACGCTCTCTGGGGCTGCCGTGGGGATCTCAATGACTGACTTCTGCTCCTCTGGGGAGGAGTCGGGAGAGGCACCGTCCTGTCCTGAGACTCCGGACCCAGTGACCGCGGAGACGTCCATGGGGACCTGGACAGCGGGCGGAGGAGGTGTGGTGCCCCCGGGCGTGGGGGGCAGGTCCTCGGCGCCCACAGAGGCAACCGACGTGTCCAGGGGGGCTGGGATCCCTGTCGGGGAGCAGAAGTGACTGTCGGAAGCCGGGGCTCCCGCTCCCTCCTCACTCGGTTCCGAGGGGAGCGCGTCAGCCAGGTCTGTGTCTTCTGATTCTGAAGGTGCCAGTGACCGAGCCGGTGTCTCCGGCGCTGAGGGCTCGGCGGCAGCCCCGCCTCCGGCCACGTCCTCAGAGACGGTCTCCTCCTGGGAGTCCGGCCCAATTTGGAAAAAGTGGAAACCGTCCTCGGCGTAGGACCTCTTGGTCATGTCGATGGCGCCGCTCCGGGTCATCTCGAACAACTTGCCTTCCTGAAACAGGAACGGGTTCTGGTCGCCGGTTGGGGTCCCCTCTTCGGTGGGGGTCCGGGCCGGCGTGGTGTCTGGGGTGGTGCCCTGGGACTGCCTGTCTGCCATCAGACCGAACACCTTCTGCTCCTCCTCCTTCACGCGGGCCTCGAAGGCTTCGTCATCCTCGCGGATCTCGCTCCAGGAATCCGAGTCCACGTGGCTGGTGGTGATGACGACTGTGCTCACCTGCTCGCCGGGGACTGCAGAGGCGCAGGGCCCCGGGGGCCCGACGGACACAGGGGCGCCATCTGCCTGAGTCTCCCACAAGGTGCTTTCTTGCGTGGATTTCTCCACCGCCACGCCTTCCGCAGAGGACGTGATGGTCACAGAAGATGCTTCTGCGGAGTGAAAGCTCGTGTATCTCGCCTCTGTCTGCGTTTTGCTCTCTTCGCTGGAGAAAAAGGACGGGGGAGGAACGTTTTCATACGGGCTTGTGATGTGAAGGTCACAGACGTCCTCGGTCCCGGCTCGGTCGGAGCCCGGGCCGCCCGTGGACAGTGTGTCTGTGTGAGTGGTGGTGACGGCGAGCGTGGGGCAGGCCCTGGGGAGCCTCCCGGGGGCGTGGCCGGGTCCTGCGGCCCCCGTTTCCGTTTCCGTGGTGGGAGGTGCAGAGACGAGGTCTTCATCTGACCCTCTTCCTTCAGATGCTGGACCACCAGGCCCCGGGGGCGGCGGTGAAGAGCCTTCGCCGCGGGGCGCAGCTCCTGGGTGCTCCCCCTCCGAGTCCTCCTTCTCCGGGGGCGGTGGGGCCCATGGCTCCTCCCAGCCAGCCAGCTCCTCACGGACCTCAGCATGGGGGGGGCCACAGGGACCCGAGGGGCTGGGTGAGGCCCAGCTGCCTGTGCTCCCCGCTTCAC